CCCACCCCCCACCCCAATCACACCCTTCCCCCACTTTTAGTGTTCTATCAGAAGCTGCCAAGTCCGTGCTCATTTCACATCTAATCCATGATTTTTCAAAGAAAAATCAATTTTACTACCAAAAGTGTGGCTAAATAACTCGAATGTTGCCCAATGCTACATCTTACATATTTGATCGTTGGGATAATGAAAAATTTTTAATTACAAACATTCAAATCAATTTCTTGTAGATGTGTGAGTTGCAATGTCAGGTATGTTGATCTCTCAGTTTTTTATTAAATAATCAAATTTTACTTTTATTAATTTTAAACTCGTGTCATCTGCCACAAATTGAGTTAATTGTGCACTTTGTCATAGATTTATTTTCACTAAGACATATTTGCATTTCTTCTCTACAAATCTGGAAAAAGACAAACGTCAATACAATTGACCTTCTTGTCAAAAAAATTTCATCACTTCGCTAAGTTCACGTCCTCTACAGTAGATTTAAGTACGCAAAATTCGCTGAGAGCACATTTTTGATTGGTTCATTCAGTCCACCTCTCCAATTGGTTGAAAATTGTATATAAAGTGAAATGCGATTTTAAATGAGAATGAAACTTTTCATTTCAACTTATGACAGCAAGTGAGGTAACCTCCAACACTTCGACTTCAAATTCACTTCACGAATCAAGAGGAAGTATAGAGCAGCTTTCACAGGTTAGAGAAAGTGCAAGTCTCCAGGTGTAGGAGTCACTTTCAGTTAAATAAAACCCAATACAATTTAATGTCATTTAAAAGCTTTTTTATAATATTATTATTTGCAAATGATTAGCTCGATTCACTAATGAGAGGAGTTTTCTTTTGATGATCTGATTGAAGAAAGTATGTTTGACGCGACAATTATTAACTTTTTTTTCATATTTTTTCCGCATTTAGGTGACCTCTAATAACGAAACAACTGGACAGTCCAGAAGTGAACTCAAATTTGGTATAGGTATGTCCGGCAATTGCGTATTTAATTTGAGCTTTTGCGTAATTACTCAAATTAAATGTAATTAAAAATGTGTGATGAGTAGATTACAGATTAATTTGGCCTCCACTTTGGACTCATAGTTAATAAATTCAGTTAGGTCCTTAAGCATTACTTTGTTGTTTTCCTTTTTTCCAAATTTTTCCCTTTAATTATAACCCTCATAAATTGCTTTTAATTATATACATATCTACATGCAAGTGGGTAGAATTTTGTCTCCATTAGCCAGGCAATTTCTTTATGTAAACAGACTTTGATAAAAGAGTTAAAATGTCCCGATTTCATTTCCCACCAATTCACTCCGCGAGAGAACCTGGTAACATGATTGCTAGATCTGCTTAAGTTCTAATATTCGCCTTTGAGAGTTCCGAAATGATTGATAAAATCACTCTGACTAGATATTACAGCAGGTGCTGGTTCCATACCCTAGAGTCCTGACCTCATTTTGAATAAAGTGAAGAAATCTATCAATTCTTAAGTCTGCATTTTATGCTCCGTAGAAAGATTCTTGGATAAGGACCATTCCATGGAAATTGGCGATCATTCAAAGCCGGCCGGTGGTTACGTGATGTATGGATGTCAACTCCGACCCACTAGTAAGTGCGCCTACTTTTGCTTAATTCAAACAATTTTACCTGCCAAAATGGAATGGAAATGCTGGAAAAAAATATACTAATTTGTCAAGACAGAAGATTAGATCCTCAAAATGCGAATGGTAGTTGAGCCTTTAGAAGTTGATTATTCTGGCATACTCGGACAAGTTGCCATAGATTAACCTCCAATAGCAAAAACCAGGAGCATTAGATGAAATGGAAAATGTGAAAATGACAAGCTGTTGTGGATAAAGACTTGCACTGACTAAATAAATAAGAAAGGCCAAACTATTTGAAAATGGTGTGACATGAAGTCAATTTAGCACGTCTTACGTTGAGTTCTATATTGTTCAAAACGGCTTGAAGTCTCATAATGATGAAGCATTCAATTTTTGGAGTGTGTTCATTTCCACCATACTTAGAGCTAGTTTTCAGATTTGTCGTTGTCCACGACTTGCCACCTCTATGGAGCATATTGAAGCATTCAAACTATAGCTGGCACACCAACGCCTTGAGACATTGTCAAGCCATTAAATGAGATTATTTTATTTTGGTTAACAATCATGGTAATGATCAGCACCTCTTTTTAACGCACGTGTTTACGCAAGTTTATTTATTACTTTACCCTAGATAGAATGCTTGGAAATAACTCAAAACCAACCAATTTGCAGCCGGCCTTCATCAGTACCAATAGTTCTCCGCAACAGGTCACAACCAATGTAACTCTCTCCTCGTCATTGAGTAAGTTTGTCATTCCAATATTTTCAACTTTATCTTCTCCATCTGTCCATCAGTTGTCCTACTCCAATATGAAGCCATTATCTAAATTAAGCCAATTGTTTCTTTCAAGATTTGCTAGTCTCTCTTGTAAAATATGTGCAAAGAAATTAATTCCCCTTCTTGTAGATGTTAGTGAACATGTCACTTGCGTTACTCCATTGAAGTCCAATTTTAATTATATTCACTCATTTCGAGGAGGTATTCAAATGTCTTTCATTCCAACTTCCCCATCTACTACACAAAGGCTAGTTGCTATCTCACTAGTATTCAGGTCAATTGGCTATTTGCCAAGGTGATTTGACGTTTATTTGCAGCAATTAGAAACTGGTCAATTGCCAGGCGATCTCAATTGTCCAGGTTCCTGTGAGTACTCCACTTCGGTAACCAATGCGGTGTCATAAAATTTCCAATCATGACCTAACTCTGATGTCATTTCCAATGAGGCGATAAGAAAGGTGTTAGGTAAGGCAACAGATTTACACAATTGACAGCGAATGACCTCGGTTTCACAATGAAAGCGTGAGAAGTAAAATGGAATGGATTGAAGGCTAGATATACCAAGAATCACATATATCATGTGCGCTCGGACAAGGGTCTTACTGTACTTACTAAATTGATAGTTCACGCTTCAAAAATCGAGGCTCATGATCCGTACCCCCATATGACAGCTTGCTCAAGGCTTTTTAACCAATTTTTTTCTATATTTAATGTTTAATTTATTTTTTTCTACAAATAGCTAGGCAATGAAAAGTTAGACAAACATTTAATTCAGAATCGATTCTCAAACGCGAACACTTTCGTTAGTGTAGAGTAAATACAAAGTTAAAAATTGTTTTACCATATTCATCGTGAATCCTACCTCGAACCATCTCAATTATAAGTCTCCTTTTAGCCAACTTGTCTTACTTTTCATTTTTATAATTAAATTTAAGTAATTTGCAAGACGGTTATTTCATTAGTTAGATTGTTTAATTGACCACCGGCTTTTGACTTCGGGTTGATTAATTTGATGTTAATGGGAAGGTAAACACCAAGAGTAGACAATGATCTCAGTTCAAGAGGTGCGGTTTTATTTTATCTCAGTGTTCTTTCTTCGCAAACCTACCAATGAGTCGCTATAGTAACAATAACCTCCAGTAAAATTTCAATTCGAGCTTAGTATCCATTGGATTTGATGACCTTAGCAACTACCAACTGGATGTAATCAAATTGTAAAAGTTGACCTAACCTCAATTTCAAAGAACACCTTAGTAAGGTAATTGCTTAGTTTCTGTAAGAATAGTAACACCTCAGTACATCAAAAAGTAATTCTATTTTTTGAGAAAAAATATTTATTGAAAAGTTTATTCTCTTCAACTCTCCATACCTTCCTCCACTTTGCCACACTGGAATTTCTACTCTTAAAGCTGAAGCTACACAAATGAATATTTGACAGTCTTATTCTTAAATCTGGTATATATTAAAGTATTTATTTATTTATTTCAAATGGCAGGCGTTTTGA